CCCAGCAATCTCCTCCGCCACTCCTTTCCACCATCCAATTCAAAAGTTGCGTCCCAGTTCAGACCCACGGTCTCTAACATCACTTTCGGATCCCATTAAAAAACAATTGTGAAGCATCCTCGAGCACACCCTTTCTTCCGCTTTCGATCTCTAATCTCACATCAATAATTGCAAGTGGACTTCTTCCTGGTGGAGGCGCCGGAGGACCAAAAAGCAAGGGTAACTCCTTTTTCTCCATCCTACCTCTGGGAGACCAGAAGGCGATGTCAGGAGTCCGTGCAAACAGGCCAGTTGAAATTTGTTTCTCGACAGCAGAGATCATCGAGGCAGGCGTCGACCTTTTCTTGACCAACTCGAACGCCATGATCACGAGTCACCGCGTTCCCAACACATGCATCCTGTTCGCCACTCGCGCCCGCGTAAATGCGGAGCCAGAAGTGTTCTATTCGAGGCCACTGGCTATGGATCCAGCGAACATGGAGGTTGGGACGCCGCAGGACGATGTCAGTTTGACCAGGCGAGGTTTCGGAAGTGCGTACCGTTTTGGAGGGCGCAAATGAAACTACACCTGAGGAGCGCACAGCCGCAAGCAGTGCCATCAAGAAAGAAGCCATGGAGGCGAGCAACAATACAGCAGTCCCTCAAATTGAGAGCGGGTATTTCCTCCATCTCCGCACGTTCAGTTGCGACAAGTGCACAACGCTTTCCTTAGCCGGAATGGCGTCATGCCACAGATGCGGAGCAGTCTTTCAAGGTGGCGCAACTGACGGTCCTATTTCTAAGTTTATGAGGTTGCAAATGCGACGCGCCAAGGCGGTGCAACAGCAGGGGGGCGTTCCCAACAACATGACAGCTACAAGCATGCTTGACAGCATTGCCGCGCAGGACTTGCAGTCCGGTCGCCCTCCCGCTCGTGGCAACCCCTCGGTTGATAGTCAGATCATTCTTTCTGCTCGAGGCCGTCTTCGCAGAGCATTGAAGGCAGGGTATGAGAATGTCTACGATCGGTTCAACCGCGATGATGTCTTCGCCACCTCCTTAACCGGAGAGGGTTGCACTGCTTTTGATGCAGCGCAAGAAGATTTGTTTGCGTCACTGCAACTACCGGCACCCTCACGATCCGCCAAGCAGAGATCAAAAGGGAAGTCAGTTGTGAGTGATTTGGACCGACAAGACAGGGTTGACCTCGCCAAGCTCGCGTACATTCGATGTGGCGTTGACAACCTACATACCTGCTTCAAGCATGGTGTTGACGAGAACTTCTTGATTAGTTATCGTCGAGAGTTTTTGTCCCTTAGACAATTCGCTGCCGTAATTGGCAACAGCCGAGACGAAATCAGGATCCAGGGCTTCATCCCTACCGACGACGTCTACGGTGACATTCATTCCATCCGCATACCTCGTGGAGACACGATGGGAGTTTGCGGAACAGAATGAAAACTATGCCAACATTCAATATTATGTCGGGCACGCCAGCCATAGATACAAGGAGCCAAAATAGTTTTATAAAGCAAAAACAAAGCAAAAAAAAGCAAAAGGCAAAGCAAACAAAAAAGCAAAAAAATGTAGCTGTGCGTATTTGTCGCTTTTTTTTCACTTTTTTTTTCGCTTTATTTTCGCATTTGTTTCGCTTTATTTTCGCTTTTTTTCGCTTTTTTTTCGCTTTTTTTCCTAGGAGGGTACAGCAAAAACATATTTGTCGCTTTTTTTTTCACTTTTTTTTCGCTTTATTTTCGCTTTTTTTCCGCTTTATTTTCGCTTTATTTTCCCTTTTTTTTTCGCTTTTTGTTTTGCTTTGTTTTTGCTTTTTGCTTTGTTTTTGCTTTGTTTTTGCATTTTCATTTGCTTTTATTTTGCTTTTTTCACTTTTTTTTCACAAAAAAAATTATTTGATGGTTGGCCATGTATGGCTGCCATCGCCCAACATAAATTCAATATCAGCGAAATGCCCAGCAGTCCGTCAACATGCAGGAGCGTGACCGCGGGCAGTCGATTGGGCAAATGGGGTTTATGAACATTGAACAACGTATGGCAACACCTATTCCAAAATTTGCGGACTGCGGACAGGACATGACTTCCTATGAAGTTCGCCGGTTGGAGCAGCTTTTGCTGGAATTTGGCCAGCGAGATTCTCCAACTCCTCAAGTGCCTGTAACAAGGCCACCGCTGACCCGAAAGCATTCGCAGTCATACATGGAAGGCGTTGCCGATGCTGACAAGAGACCGAGATTACAGTGGAGGAAGAAAGAAGATCGAGATCAGTCAGGTCGTATCGTGTCATGGACCGATGACCGAATTCCTCCGCCAGGCGTGCCACGACCACCTGCTCCCGTAACTGGGACGCATACCTCATCAGTGTACCAGCCGCCTCAACCTCGTGCTCAAGGATCAGCGTCACCAAAGGAGGACTTCCCTAAACGGAATGTCAGTGCAGATCAGAGTGTTGCCGGCAAGGGCGAAGGACAAGGCAGGTCTTCTGCAAAGGGACCGAAAGCTCCCCTAAAAGGGACGCCACGTGGTTCAGTCGGCCGTGCAATGTCTTTCCACCCTGAGGACAGAGCGCCCAGAAGAGGCAACGTCCCGAAAGACCTTTTAGGTCCCCCACTGCACACTCCACCGCCCATTCCAGCGGCAAAACCACAAATCCCAAAGCCACCAAGCAACCCACCACCTGTACCGGTGAAACAAGCTCCAATGCCACCACCAGCGAAACCTTCACCGCCGAAGGTTCCACCGCCAAAACTCCCTCCTCCAAAAGTTCCGCCGGCAAAAGTGCCACCCAATTCAACCAGTGGCATTCCAGTCCACACCAGGCCAGCGGACTTCAACCTGACGCCGAAGCCGCCGCCTCTTGCCGATTTATACAACAGGTTGCAACCTTCCGTAAAAGGAAAGGGCAAAGACAAGCAACAGGCGAGCTTCCGAGGAGGACCTTATGATTCGCAGCAGTGGAATTTACAAAATGTACCGCCGCCGCCATTGCCATCCGGAGCTCCAACAACTTCGGCGTCATCATCCAATGCGCCCGGAACTGGGCAGCCTACAGTGCAGGGCACGGATGAGCGGCCATTGGAACCCGTTGATTTTCCTTAAATACAATGGCAGCGTACTGACCCATGGGCTGACAACTATAGGCCCAATCACATGGAGCTTCGACAATGGATGGAACATGGTTGGCATGACGAAACGGAGCGTTTTGGTTACAGACATTATTGAGACTATGTTGAACAGCTACCGTAAATGGTTTGACAAGCAGCTTATGAGTGTTGAGGTGAAGATCACCTTCTGACGCGCTGTGAGATGATGTTTCAGCTCATTGTCTCATTTCCTATTGCATCCTTAACCGGATTGCGCTAGTCGGAGAGTGAACTTTTAATCAATGCTCTACTTAGAACTGGGTCTAGCATGTCTAACCACATGCCGAGTGAGCCGGAAGGTCGTACACTAGGGTAGCCACGTTCTCCTTGTATAGTGCATGCACAAGCTTGATGAGGGATTTCTAATATGATTCCTTCGTCGCTAGAATTTGATCCTCCCCGAGATTTTCCCTACGGGTAGCTCCTTCTAAAGGGGGGTGTTGAAATTCCCCTCACCCCTTGGACCCCGTAGCGTGTACTCTCAAGGTAGAGTCAAATAGCGGTAGACCAGGGTTGGCTAGATAGTTAGGACTATTAGAGCTGATCCTGTAAAATACATCTTTGAAGGGTATTGGGGCAAACCATTTTGGAGTGAAACACACATTTGTGAGCAGTTCCTCCGCAGGCTTTGGTCGAAGGCTTGCTGCTAGGCCTTCATGTGCCTGCCTTGGATTTTGGCAGTCATGGCGAATAAATTGAAATTGTGATCATGTAGGCTTAGACTTGCATTTGTCCGGAATTTGACGATTTTCTTTGTGAGCAACTCGCAACCCATTTGATCTAAAGACCTTAAAGAGGGAAAACAAGTAACTTAACCGCGACCCCCCAAAAAAACTGAGGCAGACAAGCGATTTCAGGGCACAAAGACGCCAGAGAAAGACAAGGCGGATAATTCAGCAGAGAATTTAAATTCTGATTTTGAAGTTGAATGAAGGGAAACCACTTTGAAGTTTTGACTTTGAAGTGCACCCACTCGATGAACAGGATGTTTGCTCAGGCACCCAAGGGTCCGGAGAAGGTTGAGATGCTCGGCTACTCGAGTGCAGAGGACATTGAGAAGGCCGGCCTTTGGAACTTGTGGGGATTTGGGCGCCATCGGTGCGACGCAGGCAGGTGCCATCGCTGCTGGGGTGGTTTTTGCACGAGAGCTCGTGCTGGCACCTCAGATATTCGACCGACATGGGGTGATGTCTGGGCATGGCTTGGTCATCTTTTTGAAGTGACTAGTAGCGATGCCCTTGTTACTAGTAGGAATGCGCCGGCCAACATCGTGGATCCCCTGAATTTGACTGCTGCGGCTGCGGATATGGCCCAACGCCTCGGACTGTCCTCCAAGATCCTGGATGAGAAGGACACAGTGAAGATCGGTTAGCTTAGCATCTTCTCAACAATTCACTTCCTCTGATTGAAAGAGGTTTTTCACTTCGTTGTTCCTCAGTTGCGTAATCAGATTCGAGTATGGAGTGACACTCTTGGGCAAGATCCTGATCGGAGCATCCAGGAGTGCGAAGCGATGGGCATGGGCTCCTTCTTGGCAGTGAGTCGAGCTTCCAACTTGGGGGCCCGGCTCATTCATCTCACTTACTCACCAGGCGGTGAGCGTGAGCTGAATCCCTTTGCGAAACAATGAACCGAGAAAAAGCGCTTCTCAAGGGAAGCACAAACCACATGGATTGTAATTACTGTAGCGGTCCACAGACAGAGCTCAACCTCTGGGCCCGTGACGAGTCTGTTTTCGACACAAACGAGTCAGGTGGCGAGGTGAAGAGAAAGCTGGGCATCGTGGGAAAGGGCTTGACCTTCGACTCGGGTGGCTACAACTTGAAAGGAGCAGGATGGGATAGGATGGGTGTATTGCAGGTTGGTGGCAGAAGTTGGCGGTATTGGTGATATCAGTTGTATGTACTGTATAAATATATATATATATACAAATATATAGTATGATATTATAATTGTAATCTCTCTCAGTCTCATGGTTTTCAATCATTTTTTTATCAACCTTTCCTGTCCCTATCACCCTGGTGTCCTCAATTCCCTTCACAGGCTCCATGATCGAGTTGATGAAGTTTGACATGGGTGGCTCAGCAAGCACCCTTGGAGCTGCAGCGGCAATAGCGCAACTAAAGCCCAAGGACATCGCTACGAACGGAACAAGGGCATCGCTACTAGTAACGAGGACGCTACTAGGGGCTCCTGGCCTTACTACTAGCAGCAAGGACGACGCTACTAGTAACAAAGGGCTTCGCTACGAACGGAACAAGGACTCTACTAGACAGTCACGTGTCGATGTTCCGGTGACAAGGCCCATCTGTCGGCAGGCAAAGATCGCCTTCTTGTGATCGGGATGCAATCCCACGTAGTGAACATGCTGAATATACCACAACGAGTTGAACAAGTGCAGGAGTTGAAACAAGCCAACTACTCCCAAGCTTGAAGGATGTAGAGGTCCACTTTGTCATTGCCACCTGTGAGAACATGGTGAGCGGCAACTCAGGTACGGTGTTTGTGGGCGAGTTTCTGTGCTGGCAGCACAGGATCTCTTGATTTTGACAGGACTTTTTCTAAGTGATACTGCAGGCGCCCTGCGGCCTGGTGATATCATCACCGCAATGGATGGAACCACCATTGAGGCGATCTGGGCATATCTGGGCGCTGAAGCAAAGACAAAAACCAAAGAAGAAATAGATGAAACAAGGAAGGTAAGGTGCCTTTTAAAAGGTCGCTTTAAGACTTTGGCCGCCCACCTTGGTTTGATTTCCGCACCATTTTGCTGTCTGGCTCGAGACCTTACGCCACCTTACTACCCCACGGGCCCGAACCGGGACCCTCCATGTCATTGAAGTGCTTGTGAAGAAACTGACAGAGCACAGCAGAATTCCTTTGCTTGGAATCTGCACCTAGCCCTGATTTCTGGAATTATACATTCATATATACTAGTAACAAGAAGCTACTAGGGGCTCCTGGCCTTACTACTAGGAGCAAGGACGCTACTAGGGGCTCCTGGCATCGCTACTAGGAGCATTCTTACTACTATGAACGGCGGTTGAGCCATGCTACATCGTGTTTTTCTCCTTGCGCACGTGGGAGTGCCGGCGCCTCAGTGCTTGAAACTCACCGTCGAGGTCACAGGTTTGCCACCGGAGAAAGCAGTTTTTCATACGAGAGAAGCAAACACCCCTGAGTTTGTTTCTCCCTCACGTGAATTGACCACAGCTAGGATTTTGCTCTTGATTGCTCTACAGATTGCTACAGATTTACCACTCACTCGATTTGAACGTGAGGAATGCCGAGACGAATGCTCAGTTGTGCCATGAAGCCAGCCTGGCCCATAGCCTGGTGCAAGCTGCCACCTCATTTGGAAGCTACGCAAATGTGCTTTGGTCGGGATGATGAGGAAGACTAGGGTACCACGGCCCAGCACCGGAAATGTTACTTGGGGTTGTGACTGTTGTGACTGGAAAACACTGGGACCAGATTCATTCGACCAGATTCATTCGTCTTCCGAACAGAAGGCCCTGAAACAGGCCCTGAAGGGCTCGACGCGGTAGCAGGCTTCTGGAACGTGCACCTGCGTCTCACCAAACTGAGCAAGTCCAAGGTTACAGAAGAAAGGCCCGGTCACAGAGGCTCACGCAACAAGAAGAACAATAACAACAACAACAATCAGGTGCCACGGGCAGCTATGGGGCAAACTGGGTTTTGCAACACTACTTACTACTTAGATGTTCCTTGAGCATGTTTATGTTTGCGCTGTTTTGTTCATTCTTCACAACACCTTGACATAGTTGTGCCAAGTGAATTGGGAAATTGGGACCATTTGAGGGGCCCTTTGGGACGAATTCAGGGTGGGGCAGTCAAGGATCGTGTGATCTGGAGGTGCAACTTCTTGTTAACGGCTATGTCAGTTCTTTGTCATACTGCCTTGCGTTTCTTGGGAGGAACATGGCTGAAAAGGACTCAAAAGAGTGGAATTTGGTCCGCTTCGTTCCGTTAATTCTCGACATAGGTACAGGTTAGAAGCCCAATGATCCAAACCAGTTTGGTGCTCACTCTTTGTCTCTCTGTCAGTCTCCCAACAAAGCAAATAAATACACCTTTTCCACTGACAGAGCAGGAGAGATCCATTGAACGCGATCCATTGAACTTGTCCTAGTCTTCGCACTTGGGAACCTTCCCACCTCTTCTTACCTGGTGTTTGTGGAGGCCGAAGACGATCTACGCAAAATGGACGCTTCACTCCTTCGGGACTCCTTCGTGCTTGGTTTTGTTGGCGTCACACTGGGATGGTGCTCCAGCCACTTGCTGGTGTTGGGTTTGGAAAACAGTGGTAAGCCTTATTAGTGCCACGCCTTACATATCAAGCTATGTGCTGGCAGTGAAACGCACATCATTGCATTTGGCGGAGCTTTTCCGTGCTTCCAACACCACAGACACAATCTTGGTGATGTCAATAAGGGATTTTACTCCAGCAGGACGAGCTCGACCAAGTGAAGTACAATCATTTTCGGCGCTTCGACCAAGTGTTTTTTGTTGCTCCTTGGCTACGTTGTTATTTGTCTGTCAACCTTTGCATAATTCTTGCCATCTACCAAATAACAGCGAAACATCAATTTTACATGAGGTGAGGGAGCTGTGAATCTTGTTACAGTCATTTGTTGAGTCATCTTCGAGCAAGAGTTTACTTGGCTTCGAAGAAAGGACGAACCGTATTCCCTCTACTTGACCACTCAAGGTTGAGGTGCAGATCGTCGTTGCCATCATTAGTGCTGCGCTTTCGAGAGGCGTAAGGTTGCTTGACCTTCATTTCATGAAATGCCTGAGACCCTTGGAAGGGACAAGCATACGCCACCCTTCAGTAACACCATAATGCACATGTAGATGCACCAAATGCATAAGAGCTGCTGCGTGAAGGGAGACTTTGTGGAGTCAACCTTACTGCTTACCATTCTTGCAGAAGAGCGTGACAGTTTCAGTCCAGACAGCCTTGCTGGCGGATGTTTTTGGTGCGACAAGTGGCTAACCAAGGTGGTATCTCTCACCCAAAAGGGATGGAGGCTGGGCTCATTCCTGCTTCGACATTTCCTTCGGCATCTTGCAAGCCCAGTTCTTGAGTCACGAGAGGTAAATGGACTGCTGAGTGGACGCCTCGTCGATCAAATGCAGATGCTGAAGACAGAAGTCGAACCCTGACAATCCCCCTGGATGTTGACATCTACGGAGCAGCGGCCACCTGTCTGACATCTAACGCGGTGCATTTGTACATCATGTTTTTCTGATTGGTTCCAGGTCTCCTCTTGCATCCGGGACATGCAGGTTCTTGCCCTTGGTTCCCACCAGAACGCAGGCGCCAGCAAAGACCAAACTCCAGTCTGATGTGATGTGCTTGTTAAGAGTCAAAAAACATTAAGCAAGACGTTTGGGCCTTCCGCAGATGAAAGCATCCGGGCCTTCCGCATCGTAGCATCCCTGTTGATGCTTTGGACATGTATTTTCGTCCAGGGGCCTCGTGCTCAGGCGAGACAGCCGTGAGACCTATCGACGCAAGACAGCCGGAACTCGACGTCGACGAACTTCCCTGAGGTTTGTCAGCTATATGGCTGCCTCCCAACTCTCTTCCGATGTCATTTTGAAATTCCGCAGGCTCTATGACAGGCGCCGATCTACTTGCTGTTTCTAATTGTTTCCAATTGGACACCTGAGTGATTTGTGCTTCAGTTACGAGCTGATGGTCTACCGTGGAGATTCGCTGCAATTGACACCCAACGGCTTTCACCGTGGGCAGCCTGCAGGCTATCGCCCTGCTGGTCGCTTGACAGCACAACTGCCGTCAAATGTCGCCAAAGATTCAAAGGCCTCGGTGCATGTCCTGAGGCTTCGCCTATTTGAGCGAGGACAAGATGCATGAGATTTGTCAGATGTTGCTTGGATGTCCTTGCCTGTTCTGGTTTTTCCTGCGTGTTTTTTAGCTGTTTATGACATGGATTGGTGCACGAGCCGGCTTCATACCTGGAAACGAGGCCACTTGCAAACGATCTCTTCCTCTTGGTGGTTTTGTTGATCTGGACGCTTTCGTGTGTAGTCGTTCCTTGGCTCTTGTGACACTCGATAGTGGAATGTGAGCCACCACAAACACTCTCTGGGAGCTTAGAGATTGCGTTTACCGACGTCCAACAACCTCTAAGCTCGAGACCTGACAATCGCCACAAAAGCACGGATCCCATCGATGTAATTCATGCAAGGACTTGAGGAGAGCTATTTGCATGCTGATGGACTTCACCATCACGTGACGTAGCTTGAATGAGTGTCCTTTTTGATCCTTTTTGTGAGTTTGTGAAATGAGACGCCCAAGCCAAGAGTGAGTTGGACGCATGAACGACAACTCAGTGATCCCATCGGTTGGATCGCTGTTTGAGACACTCCAATGTGATGCAGTCGGCCTTGTCGTTGCCTCCTTGTCACAAAGAACGTGGATCTCCTTCTCTGTCAGGCTGCCAACAAATCCTTTGAAAGATTCCACCATCGTGGCAGAAGCTGTCGATGGGGAAGATGGTGATGTCACCATCGCCGCTTGCCTGGAAAAGACTCTTCGACGTCGCGTGACGCTTAATTCTTATTGTTACTAGTAGTAAGGCACTTGTTCCTAGTAGCTTCTTGTTACTACTAGTAAGGCACCTGTTACTACTAGCGTGGCACTTGTTACTAGTGACAAAAAGCTATTTGTGAGGTTGGAATTCCTGTTGGAATGCGGATCTTCTTGACGTTGGCCGTATTCTTACCGCGCTCCTTGGAGCGAAAGCAACAGTAGCCGGTAGCCGAATCAAGAGGTGGCAAGCAAAAGCGTTTGTTTCACCGTTTGACCCACTTTATCAATAGCTTTCAGGCTTGATACTGGACGCTGTGATTCTGTATTTGGGATGCCGGTGGCTTGTGGCCACAAGCAACTTGGGACAAATACACTCTGCGAATCTCTGCGAGCTGTGTTGACGAATGACTCTTTGTCATTTTGCTCTTTTGAGGTGACATGGGTGATCTCATTCTGAATGCAGTGGCACTGGAGTTTGTCTTGGTTCTAAACTCTTTAGTGTGTCAGGCAAGGACAAGTCATCCACGTTAGGACGGAACCAGATCCCGCAGTTTCTGTGCTCAGGCGTTGGTGCCGGTGCATGGGGTGAACGGTTTGGAGCGCACCAAGGCCAGTGCAAAGTTCTGCTTGAACTGTCTGGAGTTTCTTCCCTCCAAGACACCCTATTCTTGACATTTCTTGACCTGGTCGTTGATAAACACATCCATACATACGCATTGGATTCCCTTGAAACTATATGTTTCGAAGGCAGTCTGACCAGATCATCCAGGTAGAATCTCCGATCCCTGAGGTCCTGTCGACCTCCTCGCGGCATGACTCTGCCATGATGGCCTTGGGCGCCACGTTGTGCTGGACTTTGTTTGCATCGGCCTGGTGCACTGCGTATGCTTTTTGGCAGAAGACATCGCTACTAGGGTGGAGGCCATCGCTATTAGGATGGAGGCCATCGCTAGTAATGTCGACGTCGGGTGAATCAACGGCCCCCCCTCGAGGTAAACAAGGTCAACAAGGTTTGAGATTGGAGGTATTGGAGGACTACATCCCCCGAATAAAGGTGATGACATTGTGACATGATGGATGAGAGATGCTGACCTGGACTGGATGATGGTTGATGGGATTCACTATCCATGGACCAGAAGATATTGGATACTGTCCCCCTCCAAACAAAAAGACACAAAATAGATCAAAATAGTAAATATATACCGCGCAGTATACTGTGTATATATATATATATAGATATTTTATATTAATGGGGCAGCAGCTGGGCTTGATTAATATGGGGGGGTTTCTTGCCAGGAAAAAGACTATTAGGAGGATGTCAAGGTGGAACTGTAGGTTTTAATTTACTGTAGTTTAGTATTGTGGGCTCGCGCTGGGCTTGATTAATAGGGTGGTTCATTAATCCTATGTTGACATTAGGATGGACGCCATCGCTAGTAGGATGGAGGCCATCACTACTAGGGTGTATATATTAGGATGTCGACATATGCAGACTGATTCATTCATGGGGTGATCTGAACGAAGAACTCCCATCCAAGGTATATTTTTTGCAAGATGTTCTGCCTGACTATCAGTGGGATGTCCGCGCCGTTTGCAATGCGTATCACAGAGCTATAGAAAGATCCGAATGAAGGGTCATTGAACTGATGTGATGTGTGTGTGTGTGTGAGCTTGGCCAACGGCCAGTGGCAAAGCGCCTGCAGAGAAAAGCCGTGCTCAAGTCTCATCGATGCCTACTCTAGATAACACAGAGAGAGTTGTTGACGCTGAGAATCAACTCGGACAGAGTCATGTTCTGGCGGAAACGATCGCTGAATGTCTCTGAGAGCCTGGACCTGGACATTGGATTATGCAGGTGAACAACACAGACGCTGAAGGGCGCTTGACTCTCGCTGATGCTCTCCTCTATTGCCAGCAGCAGGGTGTCACAGAGGAGGGCCCTGCAGGTTTCATTTTGTGCATGAATGCACAGGAGGAGAGAGAACGGGAAAGCGGAAAAGCTGGACATATAGAGAGAAAGAGTTAGCCAGAGAGAGAGAGAGAGAGAGAGACAGAGAGACAGAGAGAGAGGGAGGGAGAGGGAAAGAACGAAAGCCAGGGACGATTTTTCGAACTAGAGTTCATGCCGAAAAAGCTGGTAGGTGATTGACATAGCTACACTCACTGGTGCCTGCATGGTGGCGCTCGGAAAAGACATCACAGGCTTCAAGCTAAATGCCGTTGGAGGATTGAACGAATTTGAGCCCTCAAATTTCCCCTCGGAGGCATGTGGAGCAACTCTGATGAACTTGCTGCCAGTGGCGACCTGAGAATTTCATAGAATTTCATAGCAGAATGATGCATCATGTGCATAATGTTTGGTAGGGTTGATGCAGGACACCTTCTTTTTCCTAATCGCACGCAGCACAGATCCTGCAACTACAGTACCTGGCTTGATAGGTCGCCTGGTAGTGTCGGGGGGTTAAGATGAGTGTTTCATATCTGTCACGGTCTGTCAATTCCCAGCAAACCACTTCGATTTGGACAACTTGATCAAGCCGATACCCGATACCTTCTTCTTTTGGATAGTGTCCCTTCATCGCACTGCCTTGAAGAGGTCTTGGAGCTATAAAAGTACTGGCGAAGGAAACATTTATGTTATATTTTAACGCTTACGCCTGACAGCCGGGCGCCGGCCCAACACAGGGCAAACGTAGGATGGTAGAGGGGATAGAGGCAAAAGACATGAGGCGACGGGGGCCGGGACGTCGGGCATCCCGGCAACATCCTTCAATGTGGAAGGGGGCTGACCGCCCGGGTGTATGTAAGAAACACCGAAGGTCGGGAGAGCCGTCTCTCTCTCTCTCTCTCTTTCTCTTTCTCGTTGGCTTGCGTAGGGCCTCTTTCCCTCCATGTCTTTCTCCCTCTCTTCCCTCTCTCTCTCTCTCGCCTTTTGTTTCTGTCGCTCTCTCTCCGTCTGTTTCTCTCTTTCTTTCTTACTTACTTACTTTCTTTCTTTCTTTCTTGCTACTTATCTATCTATCTATCTATTTATCTATCTATCTATCTATCTATCTTTTTGTCTTTCTTTCTGTCTGTCTATCTATCTATCTATCTATCTATCTTTTGGTCTTTCTGTCTGTCTCTCTGCCTGTGTCCCTGTCTCTGTCTGTCTCTGTCTCTGTCTCTGTCTCTGTCTCTGTCTCTGTCTCTGTCTCTCTCTCTCTCTCTGTCTCTCTCTCTCTGTGTCTCTCTCTCTGTCTCTCTCTCTCTGTCTCTCTCTCTCTCTCTCTCTGTCTCTCTCTCTGTCTCTCTCTCTGTCTCTCTCTCTCTCTGTCTCTCTCTCTCTGTCTCTCTCTCTCTCTCTGTCTCTCTCTCTCTCTGTCTCTCTCTCTCTCACACTCACTCTGTCTCTCACTCACTCACTCACTCACTCACTCACTCGGGATAAAGCAGCATGGCAGGACGCCCGAACGAAAGCTGAAGATGTTCTCTTCTTCTCCTCCTCTTCCAGAGTAAAATTCTCTTTCTTCTCCTCTTCTTCTTCTGTTCCAGAAGCCGTTCTCGCGGACCTGCGCACGGAGCTCCCAGCAATGTCCTTCGCCACTGCATTCCACAATCTAATTCCACCCCAAGCTCTCTCAGTTCCAAACGTTGCTTTCTGACGGCGATAAAATCTCTTCTTCTCCTCGTCCTAGGACCTGCGCTCGGAGCTCCCGGCAGTCTCCTTCGCCACAGCGTTCCACAATCTAATTCCACCCCAAAAACGACTGAAAATTCGTCCTCGGAGCTGCTCTCAGTTCCAAACGTTGCTTTCTGCCGGCAGTAAAACTATCTTTCTTTTCTCCTCTTCCAGTAGCCGTTCTCGCTAATTCCACCCTAAAAACCGTAGCTTTCTGCCGGCAGAAAAAATATCTTCTTCTCCTCGTCCTATAACACCTGCTGCAGCCGGAGCTCCCGGCAATCTCCTTCGCCACAGCATTCCACAATCTAATTCTACCCCAAAAGGGATTCAAAATTCGTCCTCGGAGCTGCTCTCACAGTTGCAATCGTGCCGGCCGTACAATTCTCTTTTTCTTCTCCTCTTCCAGAGTAAACTTATCTTTCTTCTTCTCCTCTTCCAGAAGACGTTCTCGAGGACCTGTGCACGGAGCTCCCAGCAATCTCCTTCTAATTCCACCAAAAACGACTCAAAATTCGTGCTCGGAGCTGCTCTCTCAGTTCCAAACGTCGCTTTCTGACGGCAGAAAAAATCTCTTCTTCTCCTCGTCCTCAGACCTGGTCTCGGAGCTCCCGGCAATCTCTCTCGCCACAGCATTCCACAATCTAATTCCATCCACAAACGACTGAAAATTCGTCCTCGGAGCTGCAATCTAAACCCGGATGCAGCAAAGTTCTCTGATGCGCCCCCCCGCCATCGGCTGGGGTCGGCGGATATAATAGTTTGTTTTTTTTTCATCTTGCGAAAGCTGAAGTTGCAACGCTCTTCAGGCCAAAGTTAGGGAAATACTTTCAAACGAGCGCCCTGCCCGCCACATTTGTGTTTTGTCGGGACTGGCCATCCCATTACCCGCGCAATATGTAGTTCCTGGTGGCTTGATAAGTCGCCTGGTGTTTCGGTTGCCCTTTACACATTTTCACACGCTCAGCAAGGTTGTCATGGGCATCATAAGATTGTCATCGGTTTCCAAGACGATGCCACACGTACACGGGAGTTTGAAGCCTCAAAGAAACATAAACAACACGTGCGGAAAACCCGGTGTGGCCAATGTAAAACCAAACAAAGAAAACACGCAGTAAATCGTTTCACTGCGCGCGTTGGCCATCCGGATGTTTTGAAATGGAACAAGAAAGGGGAGGACGAACCAATATCAATCCATGTTCAAACAGCCCATGCACGTCACACTTTATATAACCCAGACTTACAACAAACATGTGTTGCAGCTTTGCTAATTCAATCAGACGCCTCTTTTGCCCCCTGATCCATGGCAGCATCTGGCCCTGAGATGGCTCGCTTTAACTCTACCTCATGCAAAGTGCTTGTGCGCTTCCAGCTGTAAAAGGAAGGAATGAATTGGTTTTCAAGAACAACGACAACCTTCCCAATAAGCTTGTGTATTCTTTTTGTTACCCAGTCAGACTGGCTCGCAGCGTTGGGGGACTGTGCAACAGCCGAGTTGTTTCTGAACATGGGCTATGTGATTGCTATTAGGTTGGAGGCCATCGCTATTAGTTGGAGGCCATTGCTAGTAGGTTTTATGCCATGGGCTTTTGTGCCAATTGGTGGATCATTGCTGTGAAATTGTACCCGAGTTGAGGCCTGGATGCTGCTTCCAAAAGCACTGACGAGAAGCTGTGGCGGATGCCTTTGGAGGTTTGTCCGCGATTGTGCAGCGAAAGGAAAGCTCAGAATGTTGGGGAATAGCACTTGCAGGTCAACCTGGTAATTTGTTGCCAGAGTCCAAACACCCCCAAACACCTTAAACCAAAAAGTGCGCACTCAGACTCAGTGCTTCAACAGCATGGCCCATGTGGAAATGGTCATCTTGCAGGATGGATACTTTGAGGGGCTGAAAAGTGCGGAGCTGAAACTTGAAACGGTGTAGTGAGATTTGCAGTACCAAAAAGCCAGAGCAGCCAGGTGACTTCGCAGATATGAAGAACACAGGGCCGCGCTTTGGCGGTGCAATCACAGCAGCTCTTTTCTTGCAGAAGTTCATTCAGAAGGCGTGTGATTTAGCGCACAGCTGGTGGTCGGTGGGTGGGTGGGTGGGTCGGTTGGTTGGTTTTCTTCACTTTTGCAAGCAAGAGAAAAAACATACAGCGTGTACTAAGTTACGAAGTTGCTGAGTGAGGTGTCACACACTCAAGATATTGCGTACTGACTCGATTGTGGTTTGCCACTCGCCAACCTAGGGTTTTAAACGTCCTGGAGGTCTTGTGGAAAGGAAGGGCCAAAAGTGTTCAACATCACAAAATCCAGCTCCGGCATGCGCGACCGACAAAGTGACGACGAACGCTCAAATCTGCAAATGCGTTAGCCCTTTAGTGAAAAGTGGAGTGACAGCTTGCAAGCACCACTCAGCAGGTACGTGAAAGTGGCGTCCCACTTTCATATCCTTAGGTGCATTGCCAGCTTCGTTGACCAGGCGACAATGTACCCCGCCTGGTCCCCTGCAAGAAATAGAATCGAAACTTCAACGGCAGCCCTCTGATACCAAGCCCCTGCACAAAAAAAACAAAACTTCAACGGAACCCTCTGATTCCAAGGGTTTCACACACGCACACACACTTGAGAAGGTTGCTCCGTGGAGCTTGTCTTCAGGCTATTCGCGGTGAGCATTAGCACTTTAGTGTTACTGCAAATTAGACCTTGACTAAAGGAAAGTGCTGAGTCGGTCAAACAGAATGTTTCAACAAGGTGAAACGTGAAACGGCTGGGACAAAAGTTCAAAAGGTGCAGGTACACGGAAGTGATCAGCTTCCGCTTCCTAGGATCTTGCAAGGAGCTTCGTTGGGCAGAGCCTTGCAAGTCCTCTCTGCCCCCCTGCTGCTTTTTTGTACAGAGTTAAATTCTGAGCGTCACGAGAAATAGATGATAGATAGGTTAGTTCCCTTCGAAACAGGGGTTAACACACACAAGAAGCCGAGACGGCGCATCTAGTACTATTCAAGGCATAACTCAACGCAAACTGTCTTTTTTGAATGGCTGCAATGCTGCAGCGCTAACGGTGCTTGACCGCTTCGTTTTGCTGACTCAGTCATTGGTCCTTGTCTTTTTTCTTCTTTTTTCTTTTTCTCCGCCAGGGGGTGAAGGGGTGTTCGGGCGTGCGTTGACTAAACGAGCCTGGTTGCCACCTAACCAGCCTGAAGAAAAGAACAAGACAAACGAAAAGGCAAGGAAAGAAGAGAAAGGTGCAGGGGGTGCGGGGGGGGCAGGGCGTGCGTTGTGACTAAACGAGCCTGGATCATACCTAAAAAGCCTGAAGGAAGGAACAAGACAACGAAAAGGCAAGGAAAGACAAGCAAAGGTGCAGGGGGTGCAGGGTAGGGTAAACGGACTCAAGGTCCATGGATGCTTTTGCGAGCGAACGGCAGTTTCCCGTAGGCACTGTCCGAGAAGCCGAATCGGCGCTTTGTCAAAAAGTTGAAACTGGAACTTGAAAAATTGGTAAAGACATCTCCCGGGTGAAACATGATTCAGTGGAACTCTGCAGTGAGATTCAGTGAGTAGTACGAGGTGAGACGATTCAAGTAAGCTGATTTCAAACAGGAAAATTCAGTCGGTAGAACTTCAGAAAAATTCAGAGAAATTACTCCCACGGTGAGGAGTCTCGGTAACGGCGCCCCGTAGGGTTCACACAGCTTACCACAGTGGGAAGAAGCTGCGAAACACACTTGAGAAGGTTGCTCCGTGGAGCTTGTCTTCAGGCTATTCGCGGTGAACATTAGCACTTTAGTGTTACTGCAAATTAGACCTTGACTAAAGGAAAGTGCTGAGTCGGTCAAACAGAATGTTTCAACAAGGTGAAACGTGAAACGGCTGGGACAAAAGTTCAAAAGGTGCAGGTGCACGGAAGTGATCAGCTTCCGCTCCCTAGGATCTTGCAAGGAGCCTCGTTGGGCAGAGCCTTGCAAGTCCTTTCTGCGCCGCTGCTGCTTTTTTGTACAGAGTTAAATTCTGAGCGTCACGAGAAATAGATAGATAGGTTAGTTCCCTTCGAAACAGGGGTTAACACACACACACACATTTTGGCATAGTCCAGTGCTTGCTTTCAGGAGGTCAACTGGGCACACCTGGACATTGCCGGCCCAGCATGGGCCGAGAAAGCCAAGGCCAGAACAGATGTGGGGTTTGGTCTTCAGGATGTAAGTTTTGAAGAGTAGCGTGAAAATCGAATTCGCGCACGTCGTCCTCATTCTGACCACAAATTTGCAAAGCATTCAGGGCATCTATGGAGTCGGTGGCACAGGGGCTATGGCCTCATCCTAAGCTCCTCTCGGTTGCGCGGATTTCTCTTTAAAGTTGTGGGCCTTCATGCCACAAAGCCCAAAAGCATCCAAAAACACTAAACCAACATGACCAAACATATTCAGAGGCTGACTCATACTGAGGTCCGTACTCTGACAAACTTCGCCTGCAAAGCCTGAATCTTCACGATTTCGTCCCCATGAAAAGCATCGTTCACTCGTTCACGACATGAACGGAAGGAACCACGCAATGTTCAGAATGTAGCAGCACGGCACATAACTGCTTGGAGTTTTGCTGTTCATGGCCAAATATATTATTTGTGCCCGTCAAGCCTGCCAGTTTTCGCGGCGCTGCAGAAGCAAACATATGAACCATTGTCATTGACCGTTGTTAGAACCAGCAGCCCCAGTGGTTACGAAGTCAGTCAATTGTAAGGGTTTGCATGGGTTTCAGCACATTGCGGAGAAAGAATTATTTTTCTTCCAAATGCAATCGGGCCGACTTCCATGCTGTCTGAGTGACCGAAGCGTCAGAGTGGAGACTGCCACAGAAGGTGAACAAGGACAAGGATTGTGACATGTCCTGGTCATTTGAACCCACGGGTAAGGCGTTTGCTTGTGCCGCTAATTTTCTCGTCACTCAATGGTGAGAGCTGCAAACGTACCTGCAATTTGAAGTCTCTCCTTTTTGATGTGATTCTATTCTGAGCTTACCGCTGTCTCATACATTGTTTCTGCAATACAGGGCTACCGCTAATACAATAAAGTGCTAATGCATTCGGTGATCCAGTAACTGACGCTATGCTCTTGCGAGCCATCTATCTATCTATCTATCTATGTATAAATACGTGTGTCAATGCATGTGAGAGCTTGTCAGAAATCCTTAGACATGTTTGAAACTGCTCAAAAGGCTTGTGCGTAGAATATGTTCAAAACACTGGAGGAGACTGGAAGCCTACAGAGTGTGCTTGAGGAAGGATACGGAGCATCCTCTTGTAGGCCTGGTTGTGCCAAATCATCTCTCCTCCCCACGGCATTCAAAGACTGTTGGCAAACATGAGTCTCATTCCAGCAGAAACCTCTCCTCGCGAGAGACCAGAACAATGAAAACTGAGTGAATACTCACTTCATAGACCAATTTGTAGGCCCCTGGCCCCCAGGCCCTAGGCCAACTGGACTTGACCCCAACGACTCCCCAACAGTCATAAGTCGATGAGGTGCGGAGATTCCAGATGGCACCAACGAGACATCCATCCCAGCGGATACCATCTCATGGTTTGTGCTGGAAGCTGGGTTCTTAGAATATATGATCGACCTTGACAACAGCCTGACATGTCAAGTACACAACTGTGATTACCTGTGAAGTTCGATATCAAGATCTGATGTGTGCTTCGGCAATTTGGTTCAAGGTTTTGGACCCTAGTGACCCAGGCACAGTTCTTAT